ATCTGGAACAACGCTGCTGGCACTGATCAGTCCCTGGGTGTGGCTTGCCCTGGCGCGGGGGCGACAAGCGTCCGGAGCGCTGCAGCGAAGCGTATGTCAGGCTGGAGCTGTCCGCCAGGCCCTGGCGGATGAAGTACATGGTTGCGTCCTCAACTGCTGAAGGGTGGACTGCGCTGGTTGTGTCGGCACTGCGTCGGCAGTTGGGCTGCGAGTCCAGAAGCGCCGACAACCTGACCCAAACAGGATTTATCTGCATAACTATTACACTACAATGGATGTGAGTGCCGTCCAATGCGGCTGCCCATTAGCATAGTGGGCAATGCGCTCAACGTACCGGATCTGGAACAATGCTGCTGGCACTGATCAGTCACTGGGTATGGCTTGCCCTAGTGCGGGGCGACAAGCGTTCGGAGCGCTGCAGCGAAGCGTACGTTGTGCTGGAGCTGCCCGCCAGGCCCTGGCGGATGAGGTCCATGGTTGCGTCATCAACTGCTGAAGGGTGGACTGCGCTGGTTGTGCCGGCACCGCTTCGGCAGTTGGGCTGCAAGTCCAGACGCGCTGACAACCGGACCCAGACAGGATTTATCTGCATTACTATTACCCCTGCAATTTATGTGAGTCCCGTCCAATGCGGCTGCCCATTAGCATAGTGGGCGATGTGCTCGAAGTACAGGATCTGGAACAATGCTGCCGGCACTGATCAGTCCCTGAGTGTGGCTTGCCCTGGCGCAGGGCGACAAGCGTTCGGAGTGCTGCGGCGAAGCGCATGCCATGCTGGAGCTGTCCGCCAGGCCCTGGCGGATGAGGTCCATGCTTGTGTCGTCAACTGCTGGAGGGTGGACTGTGCTGGTTGTGTCGGCACCACTTCGGCAGATGGGATGCGAGTCCGGCAGCGCTGACAACCTGACCCAAACAGGATTTATCTGCATTACTATTACACTGCAATTGATGTGAGTGCCGTCCAATGCGGCTAGCCATTAGCACAGTAGGCAATGCACTCAAAGTACAGGATCTGGAACAATGCTGCCGGCACTGATCAGTCCCCGAGCGTGGCTTGCCCTGGCGCAGGGCGACAAGTGTTCGGAGCGCGGCAACGAAGCGCATGTTATGCTGGAACTGTCCGCCAGGCCCTGGCGGATGAGGTCCATGGTTGCGTCGTCAACTGCTGGAGGGTGGACTGTGCAGGGTGTGTCAGCACTGCGTCGGTAGATGGGCTGAGAGTCCGGAAGCGCTGTACTCGCAGACGAGTAAGAGACTTAGCAGGATCATTGCAGAGTCGCCGTTGGGCTGAGAGTCCACATCAGCCGGTCTGTTGAACGGAAGCGGGAGGATCTAAGGCCAAATGGTGGTGCCTTATCTACATGGTACGAACCTTCCCAAAAATGCCAAGCCGGGGTCAGACATGAGGGGAAACAGGCCAAAGCCGCCAGGCATACTTCGTGTCAGCTTTAGAGAGGAGAGCTCAGCATCAGGGAGCTAGATTTCCGAGCCATCTTCAAGATTATGGGCTGGTGCGAAAACAGCTCCGGGGGCCCTGGAGGGGTGTGCTGCTGCGTAAGTTGCACAATACGTGCTCCAAGCGTCGCGAACCTCCTCCCGACTAAAGTCTCCCAGGCCAGGGATGGGGCTGCAGTTGCCTCGGCTAGGTTCTGCTCCGCTGCCGGAGCGGCCAAGTCCTCGAGTACAGTAGTCTGGAGCCAACTTCAACTCGAGCAGGCGAGTCCGCGGAGTAGGTTTTGTTCCTGTCGGGTCTAAATAATTGCGGGATGCCAGTGCGTTTCGCAGCTCAGCAGAGCGCATTTTGGCTGGACATCGCTCACTGACAGAGACATGGTTGATCAGATATTGATCAGAAACTGGCCGCGATTGTCAAACAATTTGACCGTCAAGGCAGCAAAGCAAAGAGCGTTATGCCGGGCTGGACATCGCTCACTGACAGAGACATGGTTGATTGGATATTGATCAGAAACTGGCCGCGATTGTCAAACAATTTGACCGTCACTGCGTCAGCGCAGCAAAGCAAAGAGCGTTTTGGCTGGACATCGCTCACTGACAGAGACATGGTTGATCGGATATTGACCAGAAACTGGCCGCGATAGTCAAACAATTTGACCGTCAGCGCAGCAAAGCAAAGAGCGTTTTGGCTGGACATCGCTCACTGACTGAGAGACATGGTTGATCGGATATTGATCAGAAACTGGCCGCGATAGTCAAACAATTTGACCGTCAGCACAGCAAAGCGAAGAGCAAGGAAATATAATAAGTGACATGAGATCTTATCAATAAACTGTTGAACGGTACCTTTCGGCTGTTGAATAATACAAGAAACTAACTCTCCTCCTCCATGCGCTCTAAAGCCGACCAATGCTATCCTCGGTAGCCATTACTCACACTAATAACTTCAAACAACGAAGGGTCGGCTTTAGAGCGCATGGAGGAGGAGAGCTAGATTCTTGTATGAGATCTTATGTTGCTAAAATTCAACTCAAGTCATGCTAGCCATTCTGTGAGTTATCATGGGAAGCTCAGTGTTCGAAATGCTAACAATTTCCAAGTACGAATCGGGAGTAGTCGGCGCACGACGCCGTCTCCTGTTCACACTCAAATTGCAGCCGCTTTGTCGCTTGCGTCCCCGTCTACGCCCGTCTGCGGTATGAAAAGTTGCATCGATCCAAGTCTTCCCGTTGCTTCCCGATCTGTACGATAGTACGTTTGCTTTCCAGTTCCTGGTGTACACATTGGACGCCGTCAGACCGTCCCGTCGCTTCCCGTCGATCCTTACGTCGCGTCCCGTCGCGCCCCGACGCGCCCGTCGACTGTGAACTAGGCTTTAGTGGACATTATAGCGTATCTTGTAGCTCTCTGGTCCTTTTCTTTGCTATAAATTTATTCTTGTGTCTGTAAAAACAGAGAGGTTCCAGGCTGTCCAAGAGAGTGCTCAATACCGAGTGGTAGAGCTGGTTCAAACAATAGGAGGACAGAGGAAGTGTTTTTACTCAGAGTTTCACGCACTAAGCGATCATCAGAAAACACTGTTTCTGATGATCGCTTAGTGCGTGAAACTCTGAGTAAAAACACTTCCTCTGTCTTCCTATTGTTTTATTCTTGTCTCTCCATCTGAGTCCATCTTTGCACACCTGACGAGCTGTCCTTATTTGTACTGCGAAACGATTGTCGTGTGAAACTGCTGCTTGTTAAGGTTGGTTCACATAAGCCAAATCGGCGCCGGGAAGCACTGGCGGTGATCCACCTCACGGTTTGTCCTGTATAAGGTTCGAGTACTGCTGTAGTACCAAATTTATTACAAAGTAGTGCAGAATCAGATCATGAAACTACTTCTATACTATTCATTGCAGTCTAGTAAGCGGTGGTGTCGAAGTTCTGCATTCAAACATTGATGAAGTCACAAGAGCTTGCGAATGCATCCTTCATATTTCTATTTCTTTCAATTGTATTTTGTCTCATAAGCTGCACCACAGTCTAGCCGATCATCCGGGAAGGACGGGTTGGTATGCTGACTTTATTTGCCACATTGAAGCGACTACAAGAATGGCATACGCATCTCATTCTTAGCTTCCATTTAGGAAAATTTAGGATGAGTCTTGGTTTGAAAATTTGACAAAGTCTAGGTCCCAGCACCAGCGATCATCGGCGCGAACGGTTCACAAACCACTTTTAGTCAAAATTGTATGGGATCGGTGCCGGAGCAGATTGGGATTGCAAGAGTTGAGCCTGCCCAACTTTGCCGCTGGACCCTTGTGATTATGTTACAGTATGATTCTGTTACGATTGCACTGGTTCACATCATTGCAATGCACTGGGAGAGGTTGCAAGAGGCCCACCGACGGTGGCTCCCGGCGTATACCGGCGATATATGAACCAACCCCAACTGCTGCTCATTGTGCATCCAAATTGTCATAGTTGAAGTACAGTACAGTTTTTCTCAGACGTTCAGTTTTGCATGATTCGAGTTCTCTTAGTTTCTTATTCAATTGATCTTCGAATCTTTAGCGCCACACAAGTTGCATGGTATGTTGTCTTGTGTCCTTGAAGCGCGGTTTGACGACTGGTCTTGCCAGTATTGTCATCGGCATGCGTGTACATCCGCCAACGAACTTCACAACTAAGACTTTTAGCTTGTGCTTGTGCTTATCTTGGTTGCGTGCACCTTCTCTTCCTATGCTATTCCTATAACTTCAAATCTTCCAAGTCTGAAGGCTGTTGGACTGCCCATCCAAGACGTGCTAGAGTTGATTGTCAGTTAGGTGTCCTACTCAATACAAAATAGGGGGGATTACAGTATAATGTTAGGCTAGACAGTCAACAGTCAGGTATCCACTGATTGCCTCCATCCATTATTATAGAATTATTCGCATGCATTTAGGATGAAATGGGCGTTTACGATAGTAAATTTGATCTATGTTACTGACAACAGACTGTCTTCTATTCTCCACGTAATTTCAACATGGGTTTTTAAGTAGTCACGCCCTTATCATTGACATTGTGCAATAATCCATGGTTGTTGATCTTCATAATATCAAGAGTAGATAAACAAGAGTGTGCAACTCCGGGATGGGTTGGCCCGCGGCGTCATTTTTTGTTGACGTAATCTTTTGTACGACGCACGCGCTGGAAGTCTTTTGGAAAGTTTTGCCTCGTGCACTTGGCCGGGCTTTATAACAAGGTCGGTGCCCAGCACGTGCTCTCGCACTGTTCTGCGGCAAAATGCGTGTTTTTCTGAGAAAAATAGGTGACATAAACAAAAATTCCGCCGTGGGCAGGGGTATCTGGAGATTGTGCAGAAGAGATCCGGAGTTGCACACTCTTGTTTATCTACTCTTGATAATATGGATTCGAGGTTCCGACCTAAGGCAGAAGTCAACGCGGTTCATCTGCATTGACTCTGTTGCAGTACAGGCAAAACCCAGGTGTCTCTGATTAGTACCCGAGCCAATCTTGAGTCATTCTTCAATGTACAGGCAGAGTGGTGTGCAACTTACATCGTCAGTCTTGTCCACCTTGGCTTTACACTTGACAAGATGCTTGGCAATGTCAATTTGACCCATCCTACATGCTTTATGTAGTGGAGTTCCCCTCCATACACCCTAGTAAGAACAACATACGTAGTGATAGCATGTGTACACCCACACACAACACGCATGTACAGACCCCCGGCCAAACAACACACACAAGCACACAATATTGACCATTTGACCATTTGACACCCATTGCCAGAGGCGATGATAGCGATGCTACAGCAGAAGCCATAGCAACTTGTGCCGGGATTGCATCATTCTACAGCTTGCAAGGTTGAAGAATTGACCGTCACTATAGGCCGCAGAAGTCTGACGTCACAGCTTCTTGACAACGCGTAGTTACTTGGCCAAGTGGTGACAAACAAAAGTCTCGTCACCTGCACTGGTCGTGTTTCCAGTGGCAGCAGCATGCAGTGAACACAGCTACATCATCATTTGGAGTGAGGAGCGCGCGGGCGCGCGAGACTTATATATCTCAAACCAACTGCTACTTGTCGCTGAGTTTGTAGTTTTCGCTTTGTAGAGAAGGAGAAGCCGTAGCTGATTTATTGCTTGGCCACTGCTGTGCCTGTACTGTCGTTCGGCTTCACATGTAGTTGCCGACCAAGAAGCAATGATGGGTGTCTCTGTTATTTCTATCGCAGCGATCGCTGATTTCTTTTAGTTCTGAGATCAATCAATTCTGGGCTCGTTTCCTTGTCCAGCGGTAAGCAAAAATCAGAGCCCCTATCTCTCAGGTGCTGGTGAACACTCAGCAGGAAAACACTGAACTATGGCTTGAGAGCGAAGGAGAAACTTCTTGAAGTAAAACAAAATTTGAAGTCGCGATCTTGCACCAGCGCGCCCCAGTCAAAGTGATGCCGTGACCGTTGGAAACACGACAAGTGCAGGTGACGCGACTTTTGTTTGTCACCGCATGGCCTTGTAACTACGTGTAAGTACGAGTTTTCAGGCAGCGTGACGTAGGCACTTCAACAGCCTATTCAGCCTGGTCTACACCCCACTGCTATGAAGTGGCTTTTTCTGGCCAGTGAATCCCTTCTTCTTTTCTGGTCTTTTTCCTTTTTTCCTGCATATACATTACACGACATACTCTGGCCAGCACTGGCTGTTGGTAACCACCAAGAAGCAATCACACCCCCCCCCCCCCCCACACACACACACCCGCACCCCCCCCCCCCCCCCCCCCACACGCACACAAACACCCACACACACACACATGCACGCACGCATGCACGCACCCATACCCACCCGCATGCACGCAGGCACACACACACACACACACACACACACACACACACACACACACACACACACACACACACAAACACACACCCACACACCCACACACCCACACACACACACACACACACACACACACACACACACACACACACACACACACACACACACACTTGTACGTGTACCGTAAAGTACTGCCAGAGCGCCCCACAGATCGTCCTTTCGTGGTCGCTCTGGAGAGGCAGGGTGGCCGGGAGTGTGTGAGGTGGTCTGTACTAGGGTCATACACATACCTACACAGCGACTGTCACAGTGAAGCAACAGCTGTTTGGTGAAGGTAAATTCCATGTTGTTCGTGCTGGCTGCAGCGCTGGGCACTGCAGTTCATATGGCTCATCTTTCAAGTAAAATGCGACGCAACCCCAATGTTGCAAAAACAAAGTGAAACCCGTACCACTTCAGTCGCACCAGGCCATACGATGTTCACTTCTACTGCCGGACACGAGAGTCCTCTTTATGTAATTCAGGGTGGGGCGCGGTCGTGAGACGGGGCGTTCTGGCGGTACTCTATGGTACTTGTACTTGGTCACTGCCAGAACTGGTCACTGCCAGGACTGGTCACTGCCAGAACTGGTCACTGCCAGAACTGGTCACTGCCAGAACTGGTCACTGCCAGAACTGGTTACTGCCAGAACTGGTCACTGCCAGAACTGGTCACTGCCAGAACTGGTCACTGCCAGAACTGGTCACTGCCAGAACTGGTCACTGCCAGAACTGGTCACTGCCAGAACTGGTCACTGCCAGAACTGGTCACTGCCAGAACTGGTCACTGCCAGAACTGGTCACTGCCAGAACTGGTCACTGCCAGAACTGGTCACTGCCAGAACTGGTCACTGCCAGAACTGGTCACTGCCAGAACTGGTCACTGCCAGAACTGGTCACTGCCAGAACTGGTCAAACGAGTCTCCCCCCGAACAGGGGAGAGAGACTGAAAAGGAACCTTGGAAAGATGACTCCATTGGCTATTAAACCGCCCAACGACCGACACCCCCTGAAGTCCCAAAACTCTGGTGGGTGGACTTGGAAGTCCACCCACTTACGGGCTCACCACACCTCAGTAAGTGGGTGAGGACAAGGTGCAGAGAAAGGATTGACGAAATCACGGTATCCGCACCGGGATCCAACTGCAGTTACCCCTGCAATGGGGTCAGTTTATGGTCATCTCAACATAACCTGGCCATAGTTGTATAATTATTATCTGCACTTTTGAAACCTATTTGAAATGACATTGTTAACACCACAGGAATACATTAATTGACCCATTGCACATTGCCAAATATGGAATGTATGAGTAATGCGTGTGAGTACGCTGGGATCAGGAATGCACTGTTCAACACCCCAGATGACCATGCCCAGGTGGCTGTGACGGGTGCTTATGGTACAAATTACGTCATTGCGCAATGGGTCCATCGTTCAACCCAAACAGGTTATCACACTGTTCTGAAGGCAGGAGTCAGTATCTTCCTCTGCACTTTGGATCTGACAATTTCAAAAGTATTTCAAAGTTCTGCACCACAGTACTGCCGGGCGCCGAAGAACGGAGCGCCGAAGAGGGACCAGGCTAGAACTTTACCTAACACAGCATACCAATGCATACATGGTAACTCAAACTGTGCATAGACTGTAGTACATGATAATAAGAATTGTCTAGGCTAGGAGGCTGATCCCTCAGTTCTTCAGAAACTGACAGTACTGTAGCTAAGTTGCTAAGTTACGCTGAGTCATGTGTTTACTTCCTGAATGCAGTGTTTTACTCATATCTGACATAAAATCAGGCGATGGAATAAAACTTTTATATATTAAAAAATCTTACTTCAAGTATTACCAAGAGTCCATAAACAAGAGTATGCAACTGTGATCTCTTTTCAATGGGCCAGATGCGCGGCGCGCTGCCTTCATTACATCATTCAGCTGCAGTCCGCGCTCTGCGGAAAAGTTGCTATTCGTATTGTTGAAGAGCATAAGCATCTTGGCGTTGTTATTGACTCTAAATTGTCGTGGTCACCCCATGTGCATTATGTCTGCAAGCGCACAAGCTCCATCCTTGGGGCTCTTCAAGCCCACTGTAGACATCTTCCTCTTTCTTGCAAACGCTTGTTTTATCGTTGCTATATATTGCCCTCACTTGACTACTGTGATACTGCTTGGTCTGGCATAACTACTACTGTATTGAACAAGCTAGAAACCCATAACCGCATGCTCCTTAAAATCTTATTTAGCAAAGATCGTCGCTTTCCCTCCGCTAGTCTTTACGAAATTGCCAAGATCAGTCCCCTTTCCACTCGACATAAGTACCACCTCTGTGTTCTCATACATAAAATATTACTAAATAAAATACCCTTGCATATGCAGGCTTATAATTGGTTCTCCGAAACACGGAATACCCGGAACTCATTCAGTCTCCCACGCGCTGCCTCCACCCTATTCACTAGATCCCCGATCTTTGCTGGCTATGTGTTTTGGGCAACATTACCAACGCAGGCCAAGACCAGCACGTCGTTGGATACTTTTGTTGCTAAAATCTCTGCTCAATTATAGGTTTCATGTAAATCCTGCTGGTTTGTCTCCTCCTTTGCCTTCTTTGCCTTTTATTTGTATTCTTTTATCTGTTTTACTGCTGTGGTTGGCTTTCACCCTTGTCTCAGTTTTACTGGCCGTCATCATGATGTGCCATGAGATAATGATATAAATACAAATACAAAATACAAAATCAAACACCGCGCTTTCCCTCTGGTTCGAAATGAATTTTCCTACGGAACTGGAGTTCACGAGCCAAAATTTAGAGATCGCGTAGGTACTGGAATGAATCGAGCAAAAACGGATGGGCTCGTACAAGAAACTGTGGGTTTGAGTGCATGCTTTCAGAGCGTGATGGAGGTAAGTTACGTAATGAAGGCAGCGCGCCGAGCACTGGCCCATAACCACAGTTGCATACTCTTGTTTATGCACTCTTGGTATTACAATGACGTGCCCCTTAATTACCCCACCCCTAACTACCCCACCCTTAACTACACCACCCCTAACTACCCCACCCCCTAACTACCCCACCCCCTAACTACCCCACCCCCTAACTACCCCACCCCCTAACTACCCCACCCCTAACTACCCCACCCCCTAACTATCCCACCCCCTTACTACCCCACCCCTAACTACCCCACCCCTAACTACCCCACCCCCTCACTACCCACCCCTAAATACCCCACCCCCAAACTACCCCACCCCCTAACTACCCACCCCCTAACTACCCCACCCTAACCTCCAGGAAAGAAGTAATCACATGCACAAATTGCACATGCATGCCACGACCTCGACTTTCACATCTAAAGCCAGTCAGTGTAAGTTATAGGCGATTCACACGACAGGCAAATCCACGTGCACTGGAACGTTGCAATGGTATTTCACCTGTGAATGAGAAAAGTGGCTGAAAGTGGCTGAAAAGTGCAAGAGAGCTGGGGGCCTACTTTCACGATAATCGTGGCGTGCACGAGTGCATTTACACCAAAAAACTCGAAACAAGACTCGATTTTTTATGCGGCTCTTTTCACCGTCATAATTATTGTACGTATGTTTTGAAAATTTGAAATAGTCATGGCAGCTGGTGGATGAATCATTCAAATATACAAACGTGCCTGTCGTTGAGTGCAGCCATGTGAATCCACACAGTCACTTTCCTCGTGAATCACTCTCTGTAAAACGTGTGGCTGTCGTGTGAATCACCTATTACAGAGCAGTGTGCTTGGTAACTGGGGCAGTGTCAGCAATGCATATCCAAGCACTCATGCACATACACCTACATTTGCGGTCGTATAGCGATACAACTGGTTGATCACTGTTTCTCCGCAACAGTCCGCAAGGATGCAGGCACACTCCAGCCGGCCATCATCGCAGGCATTGAATAGCAACCGACCCTGGCATGGAGGAATGGCATAAACACAAAATCAAGCACCATACACACACACACACATACACACGCTCGCGCACACATACGCACCCCCCCCCCCCACACACGCATATCACCACACATATACACACGAACACATGCACATGAACACACACACCTGGTCCTGGAATACACTGCCATGTAGGTCACGTGCTATCACACACACACACATACACACGCACGCACGCACGTGCACGCGCGCGCGCCCGCACACACACACACACATACTGTACTGTACTGTACTGTACTTGCTCACTGCCCAAACTGGTCACGTGGGAATCCCCGGGAGAGGAGAGAGAGACTCAAAAGAATCTTGGAAAGAAGACTCGACTGGCTATTGAACCGCCCAACGGCCGACACCCCCTGAAATCCCCAAAACTCTGGGTGGACTTGCGAAATGATCCCACTTATGGGCTCGCACACCTCAGTAAGTGGGCGAGGACAAGGTGCAGAAAAAGAATTGACGGCATCAATGGTATCCCTACAGGGATCCAACTGCAGTTACCCCTGCCCCCAGTGAAGGTGATACTTGCTACTAGTGTGGGTGGCTAAATCAGAGTTGACCTGATATGCTTCACTAGCACCATTGATTACCCAAGAGTTAACCCTTTGCGTGCGGATGGCGTGTATGCACGCGCCTGAACCCCAAGCCGGTTCTCTGATGACATGTATACACGCGCTTCGGTTTGCGTCGTGTAAGTGGTGAATGGACCAGTGTACAAACTTCTGTTACTCTGTGAAAAAGCATCCGATTTCCACAAACGACACACCATTGGAAATGAATTGAGCTCAGGTTTCCTGATTTATTATAAAGGTCTTCGCAAAGATGACTGACTTGGCTGTTTTTGGTGATTTTCAAATAATCCAGTCAGTCATCTTTCCAAGATCGAACAGAGCGTCATATTGTGCCTGCTGTTCTCGTTGCAACCATCAGTTCCTTCAACAGAGTGACCTGAGTCGTCATCTCCGTTTTTGCTCCCGACAATGACTCTGGCTCCTTTCAGAGTGATGTGGCCCTTGCGGCAACCAAGCCATAATAGCAGCAGTAGTAGTAATAGTAGTAGTTGTGTGTGTGTGTATGCATGCATGCGTGCGTGCTTGCGTGCTTGCGTGTGTGCTTGTGTGTGTGCGTATGTGTGTGTGTGTGTGTGTGTGTGTGTGTGTGTGTTTGTGTGTGTATGTGTGTGTGTGTGTGTGCGTGTGTGCGTGCGTGTGCATGGCACATACCACTAATGGTTCCTTCTCTCCCTCTCCGTTGGTATATGTCAAATTTGCTACAGCCTCCTTCAATGTGATGTCCTCGTGAAGGATTTCCTTCCTCAATTCCTCATGATTGTTACTCTTTACAAGGCCGAGCAGGTACTCTTCCTTGCTGAGAGTCTCAGCAGCCATGGTTACACCTGTAGTGCAACGGACAAAATGAGAGAAATTCCAGTCAATTTTACTTATATACTATGTGTGTCATAACTACACAAAACAGCACCACACAATACACATTCACAGCCATACTGTGCCACTTCTGCCTGGATTGGGAGTTGAGTAGAAGTGTGCACAGAAGAATTGAATGCTTGAGTAGCAAGAATAATGTTGAGCTCACCGGGGATCAGCTCTACATACATGGTAAGACATGTATGTAATCATAATACCTAGTTTTGCCTTGTCAGACTGCAGCAAAAGAAATAGTCCTGAGATTACTATACAATTCTTCAAAACATGGCAGCAGCATGGCAACATTATGTTTTTTTTCTCTACAAAATCCACTTATCTCCAAAAGCTCAGAAGTTATTATTATTATTATTATTTATTGATATTTTAATTGGGCACTCCCCACAGACTCAAGGTCTTCTTACGGGGTATCCTAAGAATGAAAGTAGCGACAAACTCGGCCATTTATTAATAATCTTAACCGCCCACCTCTCCACACTGCGCTCTTGGCCTACATTCACCACATCACTCCATAGCGAGAAACTGGGGTGAATAATGGAGTGAGGTGGTGGGGCCCATTAAGGTATGACACAGGCACAGAATCCGCCTCGCCTTTTCAGCTACAAAGTGGAGGATAACACTGGCAACCAATGTACACTTTGCAGTGGCTAACATTTGATAGTTTAATGTTGTTTTGGTTTCGTGTAAGTTAACTTCAATAACTATGCATCCATGCAGGCACTTGGACCTGATTTTGTATGACGTATAGCAGCATGTACACAGGTTGCCATGGTTATAAAATGGCTGGACACCTTGCTCAGGACTTGGCCTTGAAGGAAACAAGTTTTCTTTCCACCGGCACTAAGTCAGCTCACGAGTGTGTCATTGATTGTATTGCGACTCTCTTTAATGTGCGTTGTTCACAGTGGAGGGAAATATGTTCCCAACATGCTACTTTCACTGGTTGGAGGGAAAGACAAAAACCGGAAAAATCTGAAGAAAAAATTGACTGTCACCACCAGGACTCGAAACAGGGACCCTCGCTTGTAGCCAGGGATGCTCTAACCACTGAGCTATGGTGTAGTCGTCATAGTCACAGGCCAGCAGAGACAGTTCAACATTTTCTTCAGCCTTCGTAACTCACGTTTCATATTTGTTTCCTGCTGTTGCTGCTTTCCTACATGTTGGTACATGATTGTACATGTATGTATGTATGTATGTATGTATGTATGTATGTATGTATGTATGTATGTATGTATGCTTTTTTCTCATTGGTCTCGGCTTCCGCAGGAGGTAAAGTCTCGTGACACCTTCGCTGCATTTTGTTCCATTCTGCCCGCGCCTAAGTTGAATTGAATTGAATTCATTGTTTTCCATTGCTAGCCTAATCTTCATACTGCTCTCTCCAGGTTCCTATAGTACTCCTTTTGTTTTGTTTTCTTTTCTCTTTTTCTTCTCCTTCTTTTTCTCAGTTGTCCCCACCATGGCTGGTTAAAATCGCCCGCATCACATGCTTATTGGCACTATGTCATCGTGATTGTGAAATAATAATAATAATAATAATGCCAATGCTGAACTTTTTTTACAGTTTTTTTTCCTACGTACATGATTTTAGGCTGCAACCACACTAGGTACAAAATCACGTACAAACGGCATTACAGTAGAAATCGTCAAGCCGACGCGTGCGAAATGCAAAATGCGCTTTGTAGGTTTTCAGCAACTGGCGCACCCCTGTAGAAAGCCACGCTTGTCGTTTTCGTAGTTTTCACGCTCCATCTCCTGTGTACAACTTTGTTTTGTACTTGGTCGTCGTACATAGCATCAGCATCAGCATTGTTTTTGAATTTCCCGGTCTTTTCCAGCGCATGGCACACGCTTTGGTGCGACAACGTCACGCGCTGGTCGCGTGAAAACGTCATCTATGCAGACCGAAGAGTGTAGTGTGGTTGCGTACCGACTTGTACTGAGATATGCATGAAAATTTGTACTGTGATTTTTACGTAGTGTGGTTGCGGCCTTATGCATGCCAATGCTGAACTTTTTTTACAGTTTTTCTCCTACGTACATGATTGTATGCATGCTAAGGGCCTGGTCAGACTGCAGCAACTTTCCAGTGCCTGACGAAAAAAGAAAAGCGTCCAGAATTTGAATCGCGATCACACTGCACATGTGGGGAGAATGAAAATTCAAAATTCATTTCGAGCGTCAAGTGGTAATCTCCACGAACGACGTCAAATTCCTTCACCTTGGGGATCGCCAACACCTTCAGTGCAATCGGCAACCATCCTTATGAGTTTTGTCGTTGTCCGTGGCCAATTAGCTCCTCCCGAGTCAATATCGAGATGAAAAAATCAGTGAATATCAGCGTCAGTGGCGTATCAGCGTCAACTCCTGTTTGGAGCGGAAAAGCGTGGTCCGTTCTTGCTTTTTTTTTTGGAGTGTCAACTCTCGCTTTTGCCGCTTTGGCGGCAAGTTACTATGGAGATTTGGATTATAACCCAGGATTATTTCGATTTTGCCGCAGTCTGACGAGGCCCTAATGCTGACATTTTTTTACAGGTTTTTTTTCTACGTATATGATTGTATGCATACCAATGCTGAACTTTTTTTTACAGATTTTTTCCTACGTACATGTACATGATTGTATGCATGCCAATGCTGAACTTTTTTTACAGTTTCTTTTTCCTACGTACATGATTGTATGCATATTTATATTTTATATTTATTACAACATCTCAAGACTCGGTGGAAACACCGGCCAATGTTAAGAGAGTGGGTGATTGCCAACCACGGCGATAAATAAAAGTAAGGGGAGGGAAAAAGAAAGAGTAGCAAAATGAACAGCAACAACAACTCCGTAAAGAAAGATAATGTCAAATAAAAACAGTGAAAAACACAGAGACGCAAAGGACATGTGGATAATGAGCTATTTATGTCTGCATGCCAATGCTGAACATTTTTTACATTTTTTCCTACATACATGATTTTATGCATGCCAATGCTGAACATTTTTTTACAGTTTTTTTCCTACGTACAGGATTGTATGATTGTATGCATGCCAATGCTGAAATTTTTTTACAGTTTTATCCGCCGATAACTTTTATTCAATTTTTCTACAGACAACAGGTACGCGGTTCACCCGTTCAATTTTTCTGTATTTCGGCAAACAATGGCCCTGATCTGTACATAAGGGAGTCGTACAAGCCCGGGTTTGTGTGACTCCATGTCGCAGATCTACTCACACGATCAGTACTGTACATGTATATGAACTGTTCGAAAGAAAAAAATTGGCTTTGGCTCGATTTTGGTGCGAGAGGGCCCGGAATCTCTATTTTTTTTATCATCTGACAGCAGCATCTACCCAACCACTGTCATACTCTATTTCACTATATCGATAGATGAATGAGTCACATGTACTCGCGTGTCCCTCGTATCATCGTCACAAGCCTGGTGAACGCAATCGGATGACATCACTTCCATTCAGTACAGCACATTGCATAGTCAGTACCCTGTGGTCACTTTTGTACTGGGATGTAACCGGGTTAGAGTACAAACTTACTTTTAATAATTTTCAACAATTTTCATGCATCGCTGAGACGCCGACGGTGCTTCACTGCATGCTTGTACAGTACTGGCTAAAGAAATCCAATGAAATCCAATGAAATCCAATGAAATCCAATGAATTCCAATGAAATCCAATGAAATCCAACCTCATGAATAAAATAGCGCCGGGCGCTACGCAGCCCTATCACTACGCATACTGGTCTGTGCACTGGAATGCGGCACTACTTTATTCATGATGTTGGATTTCTCTGCCCACCACTGCACCACTGCACCACTGCACCACTGCACCACTGCCCACCACTGCACTTCTACATGTATGCGTACCGGTACACTACACGTAGCACATGTACACACATTGTACATATCCCCTCATGTTGTTCTTGTTGTTCTTGCTGTTGTTGTTGTTCTTGTTGTTCATGTTGTTGTTGATTTTTATTTTACTTCGCAAGGCAACATGCTCTCCCTACAATCACAACCATGTACCATGTACCATGTATACGCCCGTCACAAGAGAACCAAGCAAATGTGCACATGCACTGGATGTGCACCCAAATATGTGTACATACGTGGACACAAACACACGCGCGCGCGCGCACACACACACACACCATGACTTTGTACGTATGTATATGTAAGTGTACACGCCCGCTGCAATAGAATCACGCAGATCTGCAAATACACTGGTTATGCACACACACATGTTCTTTTATCGCAACTATACTGCACCAAATCTGAATAAAACAGATCAAGACTAGCACCAGATAACTGCCTAATCCACACGACTGACAAAGCCATGTGAATCGACCCCCACTGTACACCTAGTCTACAACACGTGGAGTACATCGGAATAGGACGGCCAGGATAGTTACATGTTACTATGCAGACCCTACACTTGCTGGGGTAGCCAGTATACAGCACACTGCTTTGATAGAAGCAGAGACTAGATGCACTGGTACTTCGAAGTGAAAATGTACACACCCATGCGCGCGCACACACACACACACACAGACACAGACAGTGATGGCGGAACCGATCCGGACGGTCAGCCCATGGCTGGATCAAGTGTTCGGTTGCCAATGTGTTTTTACAACCGAGGACGTCATGTATTGACGTCATGTATAGACGCTGTCGTATTATACACAATATACCACACACACACGCGCGCGCGCGCACACACACACACACACACACACACACACACACACACACACACACACACACACACACACACACACAATGTACACACACACACACACACACAGAAACACAGCGGCAAAGTACTCACCACCAATGGCACCATACGTAGCGTGGACTCTCACTCAGCAAGCACCGCTACCATCTCCACTTAGCAAACTGCAAGACTTTCCACCTCTAGGCCAAAGAATAACTCAGTCGATAACACAATTTTCGCTGTAAGAAATTTGTTTCACTGACACAGCCAGTTGATCTAGAAAAGACGAAGGGCTGGACTCCAGCCAGTAGATCTTTATACTAGCCCACTATCTAGCTATGTTTACTGTCTGTCCACAGTGGCTCAACCGTCAGCTGAATAATCTGTGCCGTTCTCAGACTCGCTGACTGTTATCATTGGCTTGTCCGCAAAGCGCTGCACGGACTGCCTGTCCGTAGATCTAAGCCAAGGACTGTACGCGGTGCGCGCGCCTCTCCGTGGTGTTCCGACCTCTCCGCTCCAGTCAGTGATGTGCTCTTGGCGCCGGGGGCCGCACTCCCGTCGTAAACCTGACTATCGCACAAGGACGACGTGGTCGTTGGTTGACCATTGTTGACAGCCCTTTGACATTTTTGTCAACTCACTACCATGACTACTGCACTGTCTTGTAGGATACGAACATCTGCTAAGGTAGTAAGTCGCAGTCAAGCCGGCTTCTTGGATATTGCGCTTGACTCAGAGGCTGGAGAATCGGACGGGTCGATAGATGTCAGGCGTCAAAAACTGGTATTTGGCGACTCCCTGGTCGATGCGCAGAGCTACAACAATACATTGTAGCTGCTAAAATGACGTCGGATCGCGCGCGTGAAGTACATGCGTGAAGTACAATATGGCTGTATATCCTTTGCGCCGTGCATGCAGCCTTGCGAATCCTGGGGTTTTCAGTCACCCAGGCCGCAAAGCTGACTCACTCGATCGGGTGGTCGCCGGCTAGGCTGGACCTTGCTAGCTGGCACGGGCACCGGGACCAGGTAGTTGCTGGATGTGTGCACGCAGACTACCTGGTAGTGGACTTGGAGTGCGAGATGTTGCACGTGATTCACCTACACCGTTTGACGTTTGTGTGCATGATCTCTATGTCAGCATTGGCAGCATTGGCATGCATTGCTGCTTGCGAAATTCCTACTACTACCACAGTACAGTCCATTCACTATAAGTGTGCACTGTTATTACATGCTCCCATCATACGACTGTGTACAAATACAAGGCAATTTTTTTCTGAGTGAATGCACGCTTGCTTGCTGCTCCTTTTAAAAGAAACAGGATCAAAATCTGTCCAAATTTGAGAGAGAAAATGGAAAATTGATTTTTTTGGCTCGCTTTGCTGCCTGATTTCCGTGCATTTTCTTGCGCCGCTGCTTTGTCTTTGAAGAAGTCATGAACCTTATTGATCATCTCAACGCATCCACGTGGGGTATTCCCATGTCAGGCTGGCGCTGGCCTACATGTAGAATCCATGGGGCATACACAATGGCCCTTTGACTGGATGGAAAAGAGTGCACACTTAGTATTATGGAATGGACGTAGTACTAGCAAGAGTGCACAAGCGTTACGTCAGTACTACGAATGACTAAGTAGACGGGCTTTTTTTAAGTTTTACGGACCTTTTCAGTTTTTACCCGATCTCCTTTGGCTTTGGTGCGTCCATAATATTATGGCCATGGAGATATGAAGCCGAGGCCTCTGATCTGGCCCCACCGCAACACTCCATTATTCGCCCGCCCCGGGTGTCTGGAGATATGTGAATTTTGTAGGAAAAAAACTTTTTAGTCCGGTCGATACAGTCATGATGAACATGATGATGGAGCGTGCAGGTCACGCATGTGCGCAAACACTTCTCTTGTGTACGCTTGTGTACGCTTGTGTACGCGTACGGTCGGTATTGTACAGTCATGAAGTAACGACGTGAAGTTGAGATTTTTCACGGATTATTCAGCTAACTATCAGAGGTAGGTCTACCATGGTCTACGGTATGAGTGGAACACAGCGGCTGCCATCAGCACGTCTATGTTGTACTGTGGTCACGACAGCAAAGTTTACAAACCATCGAATGGAGAGGGATTCTCCATCGAATGGAGAGGGATTCTCCATCGAATGGCAATCACCGAGGACAAGGCATGTATAGATATCAGCATCAGAAGATTGTCGCTTGGGCAGTGGTTTCGGGCGCACACTCAATTGATGCACGGGTTTTTAACTCTCATGCTGCCTCGAACCCCACAGTCCGCACTTCACGACTAGTATACTAGCCACTGTCTTTTTTCTATTTCCTTTTACTATTAACACAGCCCTACTGGAAAACAGGTGGAGAACAAAAAGAAACGAGGAAAAGGACAAAACATAGGGAATTTAGGGACGACTAACACCGATATAAACAGAAAGAACGAAGGAATTACGGAGAGCGAGTTGAGAATGTCGAACATGTGGCGTTTGCCCAGGCACTTCTGACTTGGTCAGTTGGCTTTCGGTAGGGGTAAGCGGAATATGCTGGAATAGTTTTTGGCATAATCAGGTCCTTTTTGAGAAGGAGCATAAAATGGCATCCGAAAAACAAAGGCAGACGCCCAACGAGGCTGTTATACACATCTTCTATTGAAGGCATAATTGAATGCATAGTTGTTGGCATAATCAGGTAATTTTTGAGACGGAGCATCATGAATGGCATCGGAAAAACAAGGGCAGTGAGGCTTTATATACACACTTGCTATTGAAGGACCATACATGGCGCTTCTTGTCGATTTGGAATAATATTTTAGCAGCCACTACAGTATAGGACATCTCCCAAAAGTTCAGCGTTTGCTTCTAAATTTGGCATTCCTCTTGCATAATATTATTGTCTTGTACTTCCACAAAGCTCCCAGTCCACATCATGACAATGGTCTGAGTCCTTTTTTCATGACAATTATCTATTCTTTTGGTCTTTTTGCTGTGAAGCATATAAAGGCTTAATTGGCTGTTTTCTCTAGCATCCTGCGAGCATCCGCTAGAGCATAATCTGGTCATTTCCCGAGCATAATCCGCTTACTCCTAGTTTTCGGCCTTCAGCGTGGCCAGTATTTTACATCCATGGCATACAGTTGCTACGATAACAACAAGTCTGAAAACACCAGTACAGGATTGCAGTCTCTGGACATCTACATCTGGCTGTTTCCACCTTGTTAGGTCACGTGGTCATATCAGCAAAGTTCGGAGTAACTGGCTGGATCATTACAGGTTATCATACGTGTACTTCGAAGTACCAGTAGGCGGTTGCTACATGATATCAACAATCTGAAAGCACCAGTACATGATACACTCGTTGTATCATTTGCCTTGACTCACCTTTTAATTCCTTCATAGCTTTCTGTCGTTATCTCCATCATTATTGTGGTGTGCCAAATACTCCTCTACTTCTAGTCTACCTACACCGTATCTCACTTCTTAGAATAATGGACACGTGGAATTTACTCAGCATGACGACGCCATTGGACATTGATTACCATACACACAGTGACAGGCAAGGCAACAGACAGCAAAGACGTTCCTATGCTCCACTGTGGTTCATGAAACCAATACCAGTCCCGTCTTCTAGCTTGTGATATGAGCTAATTCAGGCGTTGTTGTTGTTGCTGTTGTTCCTGTTTGGTGGTGTATGCTGTATTTATAGTGGTAAATAAAACAGACATACAGGTATTGCCTAATAACAATGGATCCACTGCGTGTTAGGTGTGAGCATACCTTCTTACTCCTTACCTACTGTAGGTGATGATGTTAGTGCGAAGATTGCCAAGGCGTTGGTGCTGTGATTGCCAGCACATGGTCACGTGATGGTATTTAGTAGCAGTTGAGGTGTAGGTGCTATAACCAGTGACATGCGACATTTTGACACTAAATTTTGTGTTGGACATGAAAGAAAATGATGAAACAGCGCAACGAAGAATAGCAGAAAACAACAATGACAATTGTCTGACCCTGACACACAGAAAGAATGTGAAAAAGGTGCAAGCGTGAAGAAACATAACAAGTGTTTTAAAAATGTAAAAACCAGTGGAGTAAGTTTGGCACGCCCGTGTTAAAACCGGCTATACGGTGTTGGGAAACACAACCAGCTTAGGAAGTTGCGCGTGTATGCCTATTCTAGTAATTATACGAAGAAGACTCTGCTTCTCGTAAAGCCTGGCATGGTTGATGAGGCGTCTCGCATTTTCCATAATAACGGCATACGAAAAGTCACTGGTGCTGTGAAATACTTGGATTGGATTGGATTGGTTTATTTAACGTCGAATAACAAACAGGCAGTGTTGCCTTATTACATGAGATCGACTAAAGACAAACAGGCACACAAATGTAAGGAAAAGATTAAAAAGAAAAAAAAGAAAATAGAAAAAAAGAGTAGGATTTAAGACAGCAGCTAGCTAGCAGAGGAAAGATTGCATAATTATTTGATCAGTGAGCAACGTAAGTCGGTGAATTTTTCAGGTGGGGTAAGAGAGCGGTCCGGAATTGACCTGGTTTCTTCAGTGATCGTATAGATGCAGGCAACTTATTCCAGAGAGCGGGACATTGATATGAAGGGCTGCGTGTGGCAGCGGCAGATATGATCCTCGGGAAAAGAAGCAGGGGAACATCTGTGCTCCTCGTTCGACGGGTGTGTGACAGAGGTGTGACAAGGTCATGAAGAAGCACACTACAGTTATTATGAATTACACGAAATGTTAGCAGGAGGAGTTTGCGGCAATACATTGATTGCAGGGGTTGAATGCTGAGGCGTTCAAAAAGAGGGGCAGTTGGAGACAGGAACGGAGCAGAGCAGGCAACACGCACAGCTCGCTTGAGAAGTTTCTCAAGACGATCACGTTGTGCAGAGGAAAGGGAAGAGGAAAAGCTGTTGCATGCGTATTGGAATGTGGGTAAAATTATACATCTCAAGTAGGTTGAGCGGCATGGCATTGGGAGGCACTGCCTGTGGCGGAAGAGAATGGCAATCTTTGAGGACACTGTCTTGGCTATATGGTCAACCATTGTGTTCCATTTCAGGTCGTCATCGATGTGCAAGCCCAGGTACTTGGCGCTTGTCACTTGCTGGAGGAGTGTAGCTGCACAGTGCACATTCAATGTCTTGTCGTCATGACGATTGGCAGGAATAAACAATATTTGTGTTTTTCGACTATTCAGGATTAGGTTGCGCTCACCAAGCCAGTTGCTGAGATGGGTGATGGCTGAAGACAGGTTGTGTGACAGCACTACCTTGTCCTTCCTGCTATCGTGTAGCATGATGTCGTCCGCGAATTGGGTTACCTGGACGGCAAACTGATCCACTTCACTGGCCACATCCCTGACATATATGACAAACAATAGTGGTCCCAGT